CTGGGTGGAGGGGGGCCACGTATGACTGTTACTCCTTCTTTCTGCTTCTGAACCTTTCAAACTTTCTTTAAAAGGTATGCATTACTTGGGGCACCTGGGTGGCTCAGTCAATCGAGCGTACGACTTCGGCTCAGGTCACGATCTCACAGTCCGTGAGTTTGAGCCTCGAGTCTGGCTCTGTGCTTTCCGACTGATTCCGTGTCTCCCTCCGCCGCTCGCACTGTGTCTCTCTCTCAAAAATAAACATTAAAAAAAAATTGTTTTAAAGGTAGGCCCTACTCGAAAATGTTTAACAGGTTGTTTTAATTTTCTTAAGTTTGTTTATTTTGAGAGAGAGAGAGAGGACAAGAGTGGGACAGGAGCAGACGGGAGGAGAGAGTCCCAAGCAGGCTCCATGCTCTCAGCACACAACCTGACGAGGGTCCAGAACCCACGAACAGTGAGATCATGACCTGAGCTGAGATCAAGAGTCAGATGACTGAGCCACCAGGTGCCCCTAACAGACTGTTTTAAAGGAAAGAAAGGAATTCCTTTGGGTCGGGGCTAAGGGTCACAGGAGGCCCGGTGGGAGGGGGCGGGGGGGGACTCAGAGAGGCTTAAGAGCAAACCTGAGCTTCCTCAGGTCATGATGTCACCGTTCATGAGTTCGAGCCCTGCATGGGGCTCTGCACGGACAGCGTGGAGCCTGCTTGGGATTCATCTCTCCTTCTCTCTCTACCGCTGCCTGGTTTGCTCACTCTCTCTCCCCCTCTCTCAAAAAATAAACATTTTAAAAAATTAAAAAAAAAAAAAAACCAGACCTGAGTCTGACCCCAGGGTTCTATCGACCCTGTGAGACTAGGGCAGGGACAGTTAAGTTAGGTTGTGAGCAAGGGGCCCGGAGGAGGACCCTCAGGTGCCCCCGGAGAGGGTTCAGGGTGGGAAGCCAGAGGAAGGAGCCCGCCACGGAAGGGCAGGTCGCCAAGGGGCTCGGGAGCCCCCTCCCGCTCCGAGCCCGTCCTCCCACCGATGGACCAGGAAGAGGTGAGGGAGACCGTTCATGGAGGAATGAGCCAGGGGGTGGCAGGGTCGCTCCTCAGAAGAGAGGCGTGGGTCGTGTGCACTTCCCCACGCTGCATGCGCCTAAGGGGCGTTTCCCTCTGCGGGCGCCCACCACCTCCCAGAGGCAGACCGCTGCAGAATCAAGCGTCACATGCACTTCAGACCTATGTCCTTTCATCCCAAATGTCAACGCACCCATAACGACACCTGGTCCCCGTCTCTGTCCCCCTGGTTGAAAACTCAGTGGGCCCCGTAGGCCATCTTCCCAGTCAGTTCTCCCTAAGGCGCTGTGCCTGGCAGACCCCGAACCGCTGGGAGGGCCGGGGGGCAGGGAGGTGGTGGCTGGGACCTCGGAGCAGGAGAATGAATCAGGTGAGGTCAGCCTCCCGGGCTGGGCCCTGGAAGAGCCGCGGGACACCCTCCTGAGCTCGAGCTCCAGCAGGCGGGCCCAGCACCCCTGTGCGGGGAGGGGGGGGACACCGGGCGGCACTGACCTTCTCCAGCTTCTCGAAGTGCTCCCGCAGGAACCTCATGGGCCTGTCCGGCTTGGACACACACAGGTGCACGATGCAGTCCTTCAGGACCTGCTGAACACCATGCTTCTGCACATACAGCTCGCACCCCTTCAGGCTCTCGTCCTCCTCCGCCGCCGGGCAAGAGGACGGGGATGCCATGGTGGCCCCACTTCTGGCCTCCTGGGGAAGAAAACCCAGGCCACTGTACACATGCATCTGAAAGGCACCTGGGGTGTGTCGATGTCAAATCCAACAACCCCACGACGGGCGGACGTGTCCCCCCCCC